ACGTGAGAAATGATCAACCTAAAAGGGACGGCCACGCACAACATCATCATCTGACTTGGCGAAGCTCACCTGCAGGAAATCCTAGTGGAAAAGAAATCATCCAATTTCCGCTCGATCTCCGTAATAGCCGGTACGCTTTCTCGGGTGTGTAGGAGAGTACATCTGGCGTCGTACTAGGATGACGACGACGACGTAAACATACGACAACGGAACGCTACCAAGAAGGGCTTACCTGTGCTCGAACGCTCTCTTGGAATTCGAGGACTCCCCTTGCGATGCCGATCATAGTACCTTAGATGGAGAAAACTAATATGAAATAATTTTATTGGAGTTTCACCCGTTTTACGCCAAGTGATGAGAAACGCGATATTCGCACTATATGTTCTTCACTAGTGTTTTTCATATCACTAGGGTGGAACTCCAATGATTGTAATACTCCACCACCAATACGGCATGTGTTTCGTATCGTCATCAAGAACGAGTTTATGTATAGAAAAAAGGTGTTAGACGAAATTTATCAGATGAAATTCCGCGCAGTATTTTGACGTTCAATTTCCATGTAAGTGACCACAATACATCGGAGTTTCACCCTAGTGATATGAGAAAAAATATTTGCGACTACTGCATATCACCGCGATTATCGCGTTTTTCACCAAGTTTTACGCCACTTCACGTAAAACGCGCGAAACTCCGATAAACAAAAAATATTAGAAAAAAATTCTTCCAAAAAACTAAAATACAAATTTGTGCATGCCACAGAAAACGACCGTGGCAGTCGATCAAGTGCGCACCTTTATGACGCGTAAGAATATTATTCATGACCATCTTCACTTCAGGGCTCCACACTACGTCATCTCCCATTTTTCCCTCTAATCTGAGAAATAATTCCGTGGAGGAAAATCACGACCGATCTCACTTGGTTAATTCTTTAAAATCCTGCAAGTAGTTGTCAACAACATGTTTCACCGAAGGAAGCGTGGCAAAGCCAAACGGGAAACACTGGAGTTCATAGCCGCATATTGCAACACCTACGAAAACGCCTTGGTGTAGTCTACCAGCGGAAAGTTACCTCGCTTCAAACTTTGTAGAAGATGAATGGTCCGGTCGTTTCTACTGTATTGTTGTAATGCCAACAAACTCTCTAAGGTGTATTTTGGCAGTGGAACCTGTTACTCGAAATGGTGATGAATATTTACAGAAATTTTGGTATATACCGCGAATATACCAAAATTTCTGTAAAAAATCGTTCAGGATCCGGAGAATCATCCAGGAATTATAATGGAGTTTCACCCGTTTAACGCGAAGTGGCGTAAAACTCTGTGAAAAACGCGATATCCGCGCTACGTAGGAGTCGTGAAATGTGCTTTTCACTAGTCTTTCTCATATCACTAGGGTGAAACTCCGATGTTCCCGGGGGGACTCATTTTGAATTTTCCACATACTTCAATCAGTTTCCCATGTAAATTTCATCACATTAGGAATATTTTCGCCATTATTATCAAACCCTGGGTGTTGGGCGTTATTTCTCGAAACTAAATGGGCCCCTGTCTATGCGTTGCGGTTTGTCACGCACACAGTAGCTGCGCGAAATTGTGCGGAATTTATGGTTGAGTTCGATTATCGAGAAATTTCCTCTAAGAAATTCATATTTCGAAATAAACAGATCTGGTTGAAATTTCAGTTCTCTTCGGAAAAAAAAATTGCGATCTAATACCAAAAATATTTCGCCAATTGAATCGAGTCGGTAGTAAAGCCCTTTTCCCATATTACTTGTGCCTCTTGCGCTATCAACCCCAACGCACACGGCTTGGATATAACGCACGATGGTCCGGTAGCAGGCCCTAGTCTTAGCGATCTACGAGCTGTGGAGGATAGAGCTGCGGTAGACACTTCGAGAAGGGATGGTTGGAGGATTGATTTATTTATCATAAAAACTGAATACTTGAAAACATTGTTTAAACAGTGTTTTATACAGTGTTGTGACTCGCTATAAAGAACACTGGAGTTTCACGACCCGTTTTACGTGGAGTGGCGTCGTAAAACCCGATATTCGCGGATTCCTGTAGTAGTCGTGAAATATGTTTTTCGCTAGTGTTTTTCATATCACTAGGGTGGTGAAACTCCATCGTATGAAGACACTGTTTCGAACGGACTGTTCGAACCTGACCTCTCCGATAATTAGCGACCAGTGAGGTCGACATTAAAGTTGGGCTAAAAAAGTGCGGCGACCCGTATTGACACCCTTCACCGCTCCTCTGAATATTCCACCCTGGCTGAGGCGTCACGTTGACGTTTTTCTTGCAGTGCATGCAATCTCTTTATTTTTCATTTCGATATCATCGCGGTAAAGTGAACTCTCTAAGTTTCATCTTCACAACAATAGAGGAATTGGCTGATTGGCTATGCATGGTCCCATCAGACACACTATTTCAAACCTCTCTAGTGAGGATCACAAAATAACAGCCTCGCTTGAAACGCCCCGTCCCACACGTTCAGGGTCTGATCAAACGGCTCCTACCGGAGATGTCGAGGCCGTTGATGGAGGAAGTTCTTGTAAACATGTGGATGTTATCCCAGGATCACTAGGGCAAGTATGTAGTGGTGAAGGAAGTGGCAGTGAGCATTCACCAATACGGCCCCCACAAGTTCGCCAGTAACGTAGGGGAGAAAATACTATCGAGTTGAGGACAGACTGGCACTGCCAATGGCAAGTCGATTCGGAGGCATTGTTGAGTGGTAGTCGGCAGAATAAGGACGAGATCATACGAGCTGTTATTGGCTCGGCTGGGCCTGAGGCACCTCCTCATGCTATGATCGTGGACAAGTTTGCAAACTATGTCGTACAGAGGTAACAGTAGGAGGATGTTGAAATCTCCCGGAGAGCCCCATCACAGATGCTTAGAACTATCTCAAGGTCCAATACGCTGAATGGGAGTACACTCATTGGACGGGTATTGGCATGGTTGGTGATGGATGATTATGGTAACCGCATTATCAGCTCAGCTATATGAGAAGCTAGTCCAAAATCCTACAGCACTCATGCTCGCCTCTGGGTTTAAGCACACCATCAATCGCATCAGAATCAGTTCGAACAACAATGGAGTTTCACCACCCTAGTGATATGAAAAACACTAGCGAAAAACATATTTCACGACTACTACAGGAATCCGCGAATATCGCGTTTTTCACCGAGTTTTACGACGCCACTTCACGTAAAACGGGTCGTGAAACTCCAATAAAATCCGTCATAATGACGTTAACGCTTTTCATAAAGTAAGTTGTTTCTCCCACCATCAAGAGTGTGGGTAAATGCGCACATAGTCAATCACATGTGTTGGTGACACTATGAAGATTCTTAAGAAATTTTGGGAAATTCTCATTAGTTGTCTGTAAATTCTACCCGAATTTGTGTGTAAATTCTATAGATAAGTTGGACTCAGCTGAGGAGAGCGAACATATATTTCAACACTGACTAGGAAATTCAGTGGATGTTTATTTCGAGTTTTTCTCTTAACATTAATGCGCAAGGCATGTGTCGTCGAATTTCGTTCCTGTGGAAATTGACCGTACAGCTGAGACGACAGTGAGCTCTTCCTCCGACGAGTTGGAGAATGGCTTTAGGGTATATCTCCTTTTCTGAAATGCTATCACCTTACTTCGTTTGATGACGAGTAGCACACTTAGTGCTAACATCAGGTTTTCTCATTCGTGATTGATAAAAATGCAGATGGATTCTCGACCGCGCGTGAAGTTACTCCAACCATGCGTCAATTTGATCACTCATAAATAACTATTTGGGAAGAGGATGGTAGACCTTTTCATAATACTGGAGGCTCCTACTGAACTTAATCACGAACACAAGCAGACACCTCAACGCCATCCAAGTCGCTGACATACACCCCTCCACATATTCTTTGCATACATGGTGCGCAGCTCATAATTCATCAACGACGTCGAGTTTTACCCTGATATTTCAATATGATAGCTTTAGTAACACTATCACTAACCTGCCAAGGTTTCAGACTCCCATTCTACTGCTACTCTCATTTACGCACTTGGAGACCTCCACATATTCTTAGCATACATGGTGTGCAGCTCATAGTTCATCAACGAAGTCGAGTTTCACCCTGATATTTGAATATGATAGCTTTAGTAACACTATCACTAACCTGCCAAGGTTTCAGATTCCCATTCTACTGCTACTCTCATTTACGCACTCGACGCACTTGGAGACCTCCACATATTCTTAGCATATTCTTGAAGCACCCGAGGATTTTGGTCGCTGACATACACCGGGGTTTTTATGATTATTCGGCATGGAACTGCAACACAACTACATTCGTTTACTCGATCTCCCACCACTGTAGAATCTGGCAGCATTATCCAATTCATGACCCCAGCCCAGTCAATACTTGTTAACAACAACAGAAGTCACGGGAGAAAACTGTCGAGTATGGCAAGAGTGCTGACGTTATATAAGACTTAAATCCCATCATGTAAGAAACTCCGCCATAATCTTCATCATCCTGCAACGACAACGACGATTGCGAGAGCTCCAGCTTGTCGGGATCATCAATATTATACACAAATGTGATGCGAAAAGGCCGTTAACGGCGGCGGCTGTTGAACGCTCTACCGTAAAACTAACAACTTCTTCCCACTCACGGGGTCTCGACTCAACTTGTGCTGACCAGAATCATTCTTACACTTCTCGCCAAGCATGCGCATGCGTGCAACAACATCGCCGGCGTTCAAAGACGCTGGCTTCCGGGCAGATCGAAATTCTAAGGGAGAGCCCTCACGTGTGAACACAACAAAAAAGCTTACCTCCTCCTCCTCCCTTGGGAATCAATGCGCCTTTGCCAGGCATGCCCTCCAACCCACGAGGACACCAGTCGTCGTCCACGAACGGGTTCCGAGAACCGTCGGAGAAAACTGCCCTTGTATTGGAACGGGCAGCGTAGGAAGGATTGTTATTATGTGAGATAGTGCATGGCTGACTTCTTAGAGGAGCGGGTGGCGGTCGGGAGGACGTCCAAACTGGTGGTTTATGGCTACTACACCGGCTACCGGACTCAGGAATTGTCCGATGTAATGCCTAATAACACGATACTTCACAACAGTGAGTTCGCATCCCTCGTACCACCATTGTAGCCACTGTACGATCCTCAGGAGCATCGGTGGAGTTAGAGCCCATACTGTCCCCTTCTTCATCCTGCCGACCAGCCATTAACGAACGTTGCGCATACGGTAGGCGGTAGCAGGTGAGATTGCCGTTATTGTCACTCTCGAGGTGAGCCGGCTGCTCTGGTCGAGGCGTTGGGCTCTCAGGCCCATTCGAAAATGCCTTTTTGAAGGCCCTGCGCATTCGCGTCATGAAGGAGTCGCTGGACTTCTCCGACAGAGCTCGGTGGTAAGGGATATCGACAGTGTTGACAGGTTGCTGTGTTCCCATAAGAAAATACAAAAGTGAACAACCGCCAACAAGAACTACGATCCCATTGGAAATATAACCACTTCAACAAAAGCACCCAAAGTTCGTCAAGTGAATCACAGTGGCCACAGTCTCTCGCCAAGGGGAAGGAAAAGGAACTGTATGGTAATATGAAACTGTTACGGTGAAGTTGTTCCACTAGTACGCCTATGGTGTCCTCCACTGCTGCTGCTGTGATCAAGACTATTGTAATAACGTAAAGCGTCTCAAAGAGGGAACAACCCCATTCCACACAGGGAAGGGATATAGAAACACATAAGGACAACAACAAGGACAGCTCGGCAATCGATGACCCAACATGAACACTCACCAGCAGCGCACAAACGGCGATACTATTGTACACGTGGAGGAACTTGTTCTCGGGGGGATAATAAAGTTACTACTGCTTCGATTCGTCAACCTCAACTTCCTTCCTGGTGTTGGTAGTATCATCCAGAGCAGCCCACCAAACTGTATACCAATCAACCTCTGTGTGAGGGGGGATAGGAGGAAGATCTCGACACACATCCTCGCGAGTAACTAATTAATACAACATCACATACCGTAATTTGCCCATCTCTTACCTATGGTCATAGTGCTCCTATACTTATACCTGGTATATTCCATTACCGTATAAATCATAGAGCACGGTCGGAAAATGATATCGTGCATCAGCTTGGTGAGAGGATACAGCAAAAACGACATCAGCGTACCACAGAAAGAGGCCCAGGCTCGCCCTTGAGTTTCGCCACTCCTGAAAGTGAAAAATAACGGAAAAAATTGTATTCTATTACCTGGTACAGGTACAACTACCAAAGCTGACCATCAGATGGATTCCCGCATGGATGTATAGTAGAGCCGCCACGGCACACAGAGTGACGAGGAAACCCAGAGGATCATATACGACCATTCCACCGAGTATAAAGGGACGTAGGATGTCAAACAGAATGAAAAGAAGTTGACCCAAATAGAAAGGCTTCAGCATCAACGACGTGAAACTGCACCAACCACTAGGGAGGAAGAACTCTCTCAAAAGACAGAGTACTCGTCGCGGTAGACCGCCCTCCATAACAGTACGAGTGTAGTCATGTCCGCGGCAATTGATACTAGCATGCGGCAGAGTCGGCCAGTCCTTCACCTTCGACTTGTCTCGTTGTTCCAATAACGTAACGCCTAGTGTCGTGGGATCGATCTTGTTCTTCGCCGTGCCCAAGACCAATTCCAGAGTATTCCTTTCCCAAATGACAGGCCCACTAGGGCGGGTGAGCGAGCCCGACACCAACGTCTCGGCCCTTGACCAGCTGGCATCTATCATGTCGTAATAGAAGCCTTCAACACCCATCGAGTTCGGCCGATCTCCCAACGCCAAGCCCTTCACATAGGGGTTATTCAACAGTTCTCTTTCCGGCACACGAAAGCTCTTATGGAGCATTTCACCAGAGCGCAGTAATAGAGCATAAATATAATCACCACATCTCTCTCTCGAGAATAGGAAGGGGATCCAATACTTACTAGCCCAGTAACCTGCAAGAGCCTCCGAGTCCTCCGGTACGTACAAATAGTGGACATCAGCAAAGGCCTCTTTAGTGACCATTTCAGTATCATCCTGAGGGCATAACTCGTGGCCATAATCGACCACGAAAACATCATCTTCATTGACTGCGACCGAGACCGCTCTCTTTAAAGTGGCTAAGAACATTTTCCGCGACTTAGCCGTGAAACAAGCTCGATGGACCATCAACAGTATACACGTAGAGCTTCCCGGCACATAGCCGCTCTCTGCACACTCGAGCTCATCTTCGTCATCAAAGTAACCGGATGAACTCCTTGAGGCGGTCTTGTTGGACCCATGCCAGGCCCACCGAGGCAGCGGAGGAGTATTGCCAACACCAGGGACAGCCCGACACAAACCAGTGATGGAAGTGGTGACCAGAATAATCCATTCGTAGAGTACATCCCCAAAGGCCAGCAGGAAGAAGAAACTACTCAACTTGCCCACTGGGGCATCTCCCTTGAAAACATCCAATGCCATTGCGAACTCACCAGTGAGGTTCTGTGGGAGTATCCAAAGCGCCGCGTAAATGATGAGAACGCAGAAACAGAATATAACAAAACACACGCCCATAGTTCGCAGCGACTTCGCATGAGCCTCCCTCTGACCAGCAAGGCGTTCTTCCTTCAAAGCCTGGTATTTGCGGAGCTTCCTGGCCCACATACCAGAGTTGAACGCCAACCTCGGGAATAGGAATTGCCTATAGTGTCGTGCATCACTAGCAGCACTCACAGTAATATCATCCATAGTCGTCACTGGCTGTACATCGTTTCTTGGTAAATAACCATACGATTTCTCCAGTGCCTTCTGAGCCTCACTTCTAGGTGTACTAAGCAGCACTCCTTTCTGACCATACATAGTGCTGGTCACAGACCCTTGACTATGAAGGGAACTCCTTGCGCTCATACCGCCGTTCATAGGCGGGCCGAAATCCGTGGCTGAATCAGTCGGTAACGGCGGAGCGTTGTTGTGGAAGTTATCCCATATAGGGTCAATGATCTGCTCCCTATAAGCCCTACGTTCCTGAACGAGACTTTCACCCATTCGTAGTCGTCCTTCTCTCCACCATCTCGAGGCGAAACCAGCGGCCCCTAGCCCTAGGGGGGTGACCACGACCCAAGTCAATACGACGAGAAATGCCATACCAAGAAACACACCGCGGATTGCCACCATATCAGCGGGTTGTAGTTGGAATTTGGCATCACAGAAAGACTCCGAATCGAGCTCAGAACAGGGGTGCGTGAAATAGGTCATACCAGTAATAGGAGACGATATTACCACTGCACACTGACCGTTGGGTTGCTCCTGAACCGCATCGGCACAGGACATGTCCCAGTCGCATAGAATAGGGATCTTGTTGTTAATAGGAGTACCATCTTGCTCGGCCTTGGCCCAAGCATCTTGATCGATATAGGGAACTTGACACTGCGTGTCACCAGCCTTGAGGCCGTCACCATACTTGTCGAAGAACGTCCATTCATATAGGGAGTAGTTCTTGACGGTAACACGGCACGCTGGAGCATCGGATCTGACAGTGATACCATTGAAAAACGATTCACTTCACTGAGGAGCGGTACGCGTAGGTCGAGTAGTGGGCCATGTTGGGACAAGAGATGACGGGGGAGTAACTCAATGACGAGTCGTAGATCCAAGTGACTCCCAGGGACCTGTCCAGCCATGATGTTCCCAAGGAGTGGTATGGAAATACTTACTTCCAACATGCTGCCACGAAGAAAGCCACCACAAACCCAATACTGACTGCGAGGCTTCGAGTGAGAAGACCGCAAGAGGCGATGTTATAGGGGGGCTTGCTGGTGTCAGCGAAAGGAGGCGAATCAGACTGGTACCTGTAAGGCGCTAAAAACAACAGGACAACGACAACCCCTGGACCTACGCTAATTGGGTCCGGTCCCTGAGTCTCGATTCCCTAATTATATTATCATAAGGACTGATGGTGCTCGAGGAGGCACCAGGATCTGCTCAAGGTGTGGTATGGATTTGCGCTATTACTTTTAGTTACCTCTTCTAGGGTTGCTCTGTTCCCCCGAGCGCCGCCTATAGGGTTGCTCTGATGACAACGATGTCTTGTGGTTCACTTGAGAGCCCTCTGACGCGACAGTCTTCATAGTATTATAATACAAACCCTTCCAATACAAACGTGTGTCAAGTAGAACACAGGACGCGTCACTTGTACAACTTGCAAAATCTTGAGTTTCCTCAACGCCGAATCGACTGTTGTGAACAATGGGCCTATAACTTAAGGACTCGTTCTTTTGTTCTGTCTCTTCGGAATTCTAGACGGGTTCAGCGTTATCAATAGAGGACGCAGGGCATGAGGCTGCGACCAAATCGAGTAGGGTCTTCACTACCTCGGATTTTTCGATTAACCTGAACAGCTCCAGCGCTGAGCTGCACGGTTCGCCGGTACTATCGTAGGATTTGGGTCACCCAAATGGGTTGCTCACTGGACGCTTTGTATACAGTGCTGAAATTCGCTACGTATTGAGATTATAGAGCCTGTGTTGGGCACGGCTGGTCACCCTTAAGTAAGAAGGCTCCCCAGGCACAACAGAAGGTAGACTCGAAGAACATTGAAGGTTTAAATAGACTATCATGGTAAGCCTGAGGAAGATCATGAAGCCTGAAGCTGATGTTATCATGAGTACTTTCGATATACACGAAATGGAGGCGGCTGCCACCTGTGCCGAAGTACGGACGCAGTATGTAAAGCTGTATAGCTCTCATCTTCGTTCTAGTCTAACTCTCCACAGTAGAGCACTGTCGAGCTGCAGGAGAGTCGTCTGCAACTTAACAGTGCCTATAATCGGCCTTGAAAGAGTCGCGTAAATGCCGCGGGAGCCCTGGAGCATATAAATGATTGCCCTCTTCCGCAGACTCATGCCTTCACCATTCAGATATCAGGTAGTTCATCTGTCGAGGCTGCGCAATAGTTGTCACGTATAAGTAGACTATTTCTGACATGTCAACAGGGAAGATATCAAGAGATTGGAGCGTTTTGTGGAGTCTCTGCACCTCTGTCTGCCTCTATCTAACTGTCGTCGACATTACTGTGCGAATAATGCATGGCGACCTGACTCGTATACAATGATTACATGTCTCCCAGTCTCCACCAGCCCCCGTGCTTGCGTGAAGTTAAGTCACAGCAGGCAGCAAGAAGTTACAGACACAGCTTCAAATCGGAGTGTCTGATGCATGTTGATAGTACAGGTGTCCGGGGCGAGCGGTCGATGACCATATTCAATAGCTCAATGGTTGGGAAGCTAGTTGACTGGTTTTGTGATGAAACCTTTCCTATCATCATCGGAGCATGTACAGTGTGCCTGGAAGGAGGTGTGGACCTTGGCCCTTCGTGGCCTCAAAGATGCTATACGGCTGGACCTATGCCTCATATTCCTTCTCAAGTCTCCGATGATACGACTACGTTGGCTGCAGTGTTTGGTTCTCAACGGCGTCATTTTCCTGGGCTCAGTTGGCGTTTTCAGACTAGTACGGTTCTACGCACCTTTGGTCGTTATCACCCTGCTAGGTCGTGAATCCCTTGCTGATGACGATAGTGAGATGGATCAGTGGTTTCGAGGAGGAATCTATGCAGAAGTGGACAGAGGCACTGTATTTCCTTCACTTGGTAGGACAGTCGTCATATGGACACATGCTGTGTACCTCAGCTCACATGGGTAGTACCGGTCTACTCCCTCAGCTATCTGCTCAACATCGCCTGGCATCAAGTAAGATCGCCGCTCCGCCTTTCTATATCACTCGTTAGTCTGATCGAGGGGGGTGGGGCCGATATGCCACTTCGGGCCTCCGGCGCAGCGTATGATGCCGTTGCAAGGGAATCTGGCATGAATTCAGTGGCGAATAGGGAACACCGTGCCCGAAATGGCATATCGGCCCTCGAACGGGATCGACCTCAAAAACTGAAACTGATCGTTATATCTCGTACGTCAGGGGAATTAATTACACTGACGGATGTTTCCGGGTGGCATAGCTGCCCCAGCAGAGAAATTAGTCAACCTATTTCGTGTGCATACTCTTGGACGAAGTGTATCGTATTGAGCAGCATCTTCGCATGGCATACTTGCCTCACGAATTTATTGTACTAAGGCGTATCGGATGGCATACTTGCCCCACTAATTTATCGTACTGAGGCGTATCGGATGGCATACTTGCCCCACTAATTTATCGTACTGAGGCGTATCGGATGGCATACTTGCCCCACTAATTTATCGTACTGAGGCGTATCGGATGGCATACTTGCCCCACTAATTTATCGTACTGAGGCGTATCGGATGGCATACTTGCCCCACTAATTTATCGTACTGAGGCGTATCGGATGGCATACTTGCCCCACTGATTTATCGTACTGAGGCGTATCGGATGGCATACTTGCCCCACTGATTTATCGTACTGAGGCGTATCGGATGGCATACTTGCCCCACTGATTTTTCGTACTGAGGCGTAACGGATGGCATACTTGCCCCACTAGTTTATTCTTCTGAGGCGTATCTTAATATGGCATAGCTGCCCCAACATTTGATGATACTAAGAGTATCAGTATTGCCCATCATTTGTGGTCACGATATTATCTAGTGACTACTTCAACGCAGAACTCGTCAACTGTGCCTTTCAGGACATCGCCAATGAGACCTTCGCGATATTCTCTCCATCGGACCCAAGGGTTAAGACTACTCTAACAGCTCGAATAGTCGATGCATTGATGCGGAACTTGCTCAATATTATATTCGCCCTGCAAACATGGCTATTGGGTTTTGTACCATACATCGGCACCTTCCTCAATCTGACCAGCATGTGCTTGCTGGTATCACAATGCGGCCACGTCATGGTTTCTACCACAGTCCCTTCTCAGATCTCTACATACAGCTTCGAGTATCGATGGGTATATCTCGGATGGGAGTCCCATGTCCGTTTACGTTTCATCGAGAGGCATTGGGCATACTTCATCGGATTCGGTCAGGTGTCAAGGAAGTTTTTGACGTGCTCATTTGCCTTCAGGTCTCCCCTCGACTGTGCTATGTTCCGTCTTTCCACGGTTCATCGACAACGGAATCTTTTCAATGCTCTTCCCTATCTGCATTATGACAGCCGTTGCTGCTAGACCGAGAAGCATGACGACACTTGGCAGAGTGAGTCCTCAATACCTATTACCAAGGCCCTGCCGGGATTAGTGTTTTGAATTGCGTCAAACCGTAGTCATTTGTTGAGCGAACGACTATGAAGCTCGGTCCGACCGTAATTGGCTTGACCTCGCTGAATGGGATAAACCTTAAAATCTCTCTGACATCTTGTTCCTGTATGTAGATACCCATTTACGTGCTGGTTGAGAGAGTTACGGGCTTCCTCATAAGAACAATGGACGAGCAGAAACTCAAGCGTTTCCGGCCACGGAAGACGATCAAACGGAAATCTAAGGGGATCCAGTAGCCGCTGTAATGTGCTGTTGTTAACTGCGTCACCCGATAGTATATTTATTCCATGTATTTCTTGAATGCTAGTATTAAATCCCATTTTCAAGGCTAGACGTACTGGTGTTCTCAGTGACTAAGCTCATTCAATTGAACCAAAAGCTAACCCGAATGGTCAATTCATCACGAAACCTGTCACTTGGGAATCAACGAGTCATGATTGGCGAACTCACAGACGACACTATATTCACCAGCTTGAACTCACACAAGCACATTGTTTGGTCATACGAACTCATAAACTAGGGAGATCTCGATGACAGTAATTGTTACTCCACAGAGGAGGACAGGGAACATTCCGACCTGCAAGTGGTGCATAGCTGGTGGTAGAGCTCGCCGAGTGTTGCACGATCTTCTCTTGCTGACCTTTGCACTCCACTCTACAGAGGACTTCTCCAATCCTGCCACTGATACGATCATTCTCGGAACGCCAGTCAGCGAACAAAGCCACAGTAGAGGTCCTCGCCGGAAATGTTGTTCAATCGATCAGAGTTGCACAGAGAACATGCGAACCATGTGAGAGATAACTGCGTGAGGATTCTCTATCCGCGTGCAAGAGACAACTACAACAACCATCCCACCACGAACAACGCGATACACTCATTTTACGGGGTCATCGCAGTCCTCTATGCATGGGTCTCGCTCTGATTGCTTCCACATAACGTCATCAGTTTCAATTTACTAATCATCTCCTTATCCAGACTCAAGCTATTTGACGATAACAATCGTTCGAGTTCTTTGAAAGGCCTCGCTCTCACTGGAGGTGACTTCTCCTCCTCACCTCGCGCACCTTCATCTTGGCCTACCGTAGATTCGTCGATCCTGAACGCACTAGTCAGGTGTGAGGTTGTGGCATCACATTCGGCGCAAATCCGATCGACTGCCTCCAGTAGATCCTCCTTGATTGTAGACGACCACAGGGGGGACTCGGTCGGACTGAGCGTCGATGAGCTAGATCGATCCAGTTGTTCGCTCAGCACCACCGTTTGGAGGAACGGATCGACTCGGTCTCTCGAGTAGCTGTGAGAGCCTCGTGAGGATCCGGGAGTGCGAGTGAGCGTCGGTGGAACAGAAGGCGGTCTCGAAAGTGGCGCCACAGCTGAAGACGTAGAGCTGCGCTGAGGTGACGCATCGTCCAACGACATGTGTTCAGCCGAGGAAGTGGGAGACGATATTGGGGAAGTTCTCAGCTCTTCCACTTCACGCATCCTCTTGATCAATCGCACGACTCTCTCAAGCTTCCCCTCATCCACGCTCGAGATATCCGTCTTGTCTCCCATCGCTGAATTCCCGCAACTTTGAGGCCGATCATACATCGATGGGCTTCTGCTCGGATTCTGTCGTCCAGCCGACTGTAGCTCCATGGATTTCTCTCGCAAGTGGGTCCCCGAATGGGCGTGAGCTCGTAAATCATAAGGTTGACATTTTTTCCGAGGAGCAGGGACGCGAGGAACCGGCAGCCATATACGTGTTCCGACCAAGCTACGTTCGAAGATGCTCTTTC